GCACTTTAAAAATTTCTGGTTCATCAATATTAAGGCCTACCCTGAAGTTATATAGAGGCTTGTCCGCAAAACTGCAGTAACTTAAAGAAGGACTTCTAACATTTTTGCGGTCGACCCTCTGTATATCTAAACGAAACATTAATTTTAGAAGTTTTTTTGACACAAAAACATATGTCCACCATAAATGGTATGGTACTGATCACTTCTGTGAATTTTGGGCATAATCCCGCCAGCAGATTGACCTTCGAAAGCCGGACAAGAATTTTCTTTTTTATAACTCTGGCGCCCATTTTGTGCAGTCAAGAGGAACGTTCCGGCGATATGCACAACTATAGGGATGGTACTGATCACTTCTGTGAAGTTTAATTGAAATCCAGCCAGTAATTTGATCCGTGAAAGCCGGACAAGATTTTTTTTCTTTTTTATAGCTCTGGCGGCCATGTTGTGGAGCGGAGCGAAACGTACCGGCGATATGCACAACTTAGGGTGGTACTTATCATTCCTGTGAAGTTTCATGGAAATCCGGCCAGCAGTTTTACCTGTGAAAGCCGGACAAGATTTTCCTATTTATAACTCTGGCGCCCATTTTGTGCAGTCAAGAGGAACGTACCGGCGATATGCACAACTTAGGGTGGTACTTATCATTCCTGTGAAGTTTCATGGAAATCCGGCCAGCAGTTTTACCTGTGAAAGCCGGACAAGATTTTCCTATTTATAACTCTGGCGGACGGACAACATTTCTTACTGTAAATAGGACATTATGTAGGCTTGGGTCCTAAATGAAGGCATTTGATTTTTTAGTTTATGACACATTAAGTTCAATACTGAATAGTGATAATTTACATCTTAAGAGGGTGCATTTATTTTTTTTTAGTTCACATAAGGATCAAGATCACATCAAATTTAAAAGCTCAAATATTCTTCATTGTTTATCCTCATTCATCAAATATTTAATATTAGTTGGACCTGAAATAGCATGTTTATGAAATTAACAAGATACGGGCATTTACAAGTTGATCCAATTATTGATCCTGATCTTGAAATTGATCTTTATTTTGTTATAATTTGGTTCGATACAAATATGACTTTATGAAATACATATTCTCGAAGCGTTGTGTCATGGCTATACGCATAACATATATAATAATGCCAATTTCATATGCCTTAATAACTATAGTTTTGGAAAAGTCAGCCCATAACTGCTTGGATTGTTTCACGTTATTCGATTAAAATTGTCGAACTGACTTTATCAACAATGTTTATGTGTTTAAAATCTCGAAGGTTTCACTGAATTAAAGAATAAGTAATTTCTAGAACGGCAGATAGTCGTGTTTGATATAAAGGATATAAATACGAAAGACCGGTGGGGACATTTCAACTTCATGAATTTCCGATTTCATCTTAATGAATTCAACTTAGTAAATTCACGATTTCAATTTCACGAATTAACGATTTTAACTTTATGAAATCGTGAATTCGAAAAAAGTTGAAATCCTGAATTCACGAAATTGAATTCGTGAATTCATGAAGTTGAAATTGTGAATTCGTGAAGTTGAAATCGTGAATTCATTAAGATGATATCGTAAATTTATGAAGTTTAAATCGTGAGTTTGTGAAGTTGAAATCGTGTATACATAAAGATGAAATGCCCCCACCGATCTTTCGTATATTAAAATCGACTAAATTCAGATACATAACAACACACCGTCTTACCGGCGGCAGTGATGGCAGATCACTGCAGTGATGGCAGATATCTGAAAATTGACGATCGGTACAGGTAGGTTATAAATTTGGTTGGTTTAATTATATTATATCACAAATACGGCCCATATCATTGCTATAAAACTATTGTCCATTGAATGGAGATACTGTAAGGTAATTTTGGACTCGTTTTTTCCTGTTTTCAGACTATTTTGAGCAGGTTAAAAAGTGAAAGCCTTGGAAAAAAATCCGTGAAATTGTCTGTTTTCTGTTCAAAATATCTCAAGTTTTAAGTAAATGGCAGGATTTCCTGTTATCAATATAGACGTTCATCCATTGGGGTCACGCAAGCCAAATATCTACCCCGTGAGTCTTTTTCTTGAAAGTTTTACAGACGCCCAATCTTGTTCGGTCGAAGAAAAAATGCTGCCGTTGTAGGCAGATACATATTATAAATGCTGCCGTCGATGGCAGAAATACCACGAAAGTGGCTAACATTCTGACAGAAAATCAAGTTCAATCTTTTATCAATTCCTCTTTTCTTTGCGTCCTTTTAGTCGGAATTGAGACGTTTAACTATCATTTCTAATATTTTCTCAAGATAGAAAAGTTATTAATGCGGTGTGTGCATCAAAAAAAGCTTTTTAGCAACATGCAGTTACAATACAAAAAGTGATGATTTAGTACGACAAAATTTCACTATAAATAGAGAAATGAACATGAAAAACTTCATTTTTCTATATTCATGCATGTGTGCTTGATTTGTTAATATGAATTGAAAGGTCAAAAAAGAGAAAAAGAATTTTAACAAATCAAAAAATTCTATTTTTTTTCCTATAAATACAGGATTTATTTCATCTTATGAATCATCGAAAGGTTCATCTTTATAAGTTGTCATGGTTACAACTAAAATGAATGAAAAAATATATAGTTAAATGGGAGCACTTGATGTTAGAACTGTTGTTAATAGTTTAGCATAGTAAATGTAATTCAAAGGCAAACTACAACGCTATTACAAACATGAAACTTTAAAGAAATGAATCCACGTTGTCGTGTTTTTCAAGAACTTGATAATATAGGAAAATATTTGAACTGTCAATAATATTATCTTTCCATTTTACATTAACATACATTTTTTATGATACACTGATGCCAGTTGCGAGGTTAATAGTCTCCCCTTTATTACATTAATTTAATAATTTATAATCTGCGCCGATTAAGTAAATTTCAGCCTTTATTTGTCATTAAGCGATGAACATTATTACCTTGAGAAAATAATGTCATATGCTAGCAAATGAATATCCACTTACAGAAGTTACTTGCTGTAATATGCAATTGGCGTTATGTCTAAAAAAAGGGAGTGCGCTGCTAAACTTAAGATACATATAGTATTGTATGCATGTAACTGACAGACACAACAGATCAAGCACACCTGCATGAATATAGAAAAATGAAGTTTTTCATGTTCATTTCTCTATTTATAGTGAAATTTTGTGGTACTAAGTCATAACTTTTTGTATTGTAACTGCATGTTGCTAATAAGCTTTTTTTCGATGCACATACTGCATTAATGAAAAAAATCAAAAAATCTACAAAACAGCAAATTTTTCTTCAAAATTATATATGTGAGGCCATGTTTTAACATGGAAAAACGCGTTTTTGGGTAATTTCGTTTTTTTTATCATTTTCTGATAACCCATTACCAGATATATACGCCTTTCTACGCCTTTTTCACCCCCCCCTTCTTTTTTTGCTTTCTCAAATGGTGAAAAAATGCCTTATTTATGCCCCCAAACACTTGTTTTTGTTTGATAAATGTTGTTTAAAAAATTGACTAATTTTTCAGCGCCCCCCCCCCCCATCCCCATCTAAAAGATACATCAGGGGGTTGCCAGAAGGGGGATGTGCCCCCTTCTGTTTGGGGGGTTTGAAGGGGGGCTGAGTCCCCCTCATCGCCAAGAAAACTTTGGACTTGTGGGAGGCTAAAAATGGCCCCAGGTTGATCATAAGGTAACGTGTAACCAATGCTGAAAAGCCTTTAACTCTATCTCAATCCATTGAGAAGTGGCAGCACTTTGAAATCAATTTTGATGGAAAAAATCAACGCAAAATAGTGATTTTTGGCAATTTTGAGATGTCCCCTAGTTGCTATGGTATCAGGAAATTTCAGACTGAACATGTTGTTACAAAGGCAATGGTCCAGTCAACATTTGTGCCAAGTTTGATTAGTATTGAATCAGTTTTTATAGTTTTATAGCAACTTGAACTTGTAACGTGAGACCTTTCAATGGAAACAGCCATTTTTCACAAGATGCTCATGGGGTAATGGGTTAATAACTTTTCTATCTTGAGAAAATATTAGAAATGATAGTTTAACGTCTCAATTCTGACTAAAAGGACGCAAAGAAAAGAGGAATTGATAAAAGATTGAACTTGATTTTCTGTCAGAATGTTAGCCACTTTCGAGGTATTTCTGCCATCGACGGCAGCATTTATAATATGTATCTGCCTACAACGGCAGCATTTTTTCTTCGACCGGACAAGATTGAGCGTCTGTAAAACTTTCAAGAAAAGACTCACGGGGTAGATATTTGGCTTGCGTGACCCCAATGGATGAACATCTATATTGATAACAGGAAATCCTGCCATTTACTTAAAACTTGAGATATTTTGAACAGAAAACAGACATTTTCACGGATTTTTCTAAGGCTTTCACTTTTAACCTGCTCAAAATAGTCTGAAAACAGGAAAAAACGAGTCCAAAATTACCTTACAGTATCTCCATTCAATGGACAATAGTTTTATAGCAATGAAATGTGCCGTATTTGTTAAATATAATTCAACCAACCAAATTTATAACCTACCTGTATCGATCGGTAATTTTCAGATATCTGCCATCACTGCAGTGATCTGCCATCACTGCCGCCGGTAATACGGTGTGAACAATGTGCATCCGCCACAACAATAAAAACATAATTGTATTCATTTACTGAAGCGTTAAGTAATAAACATGACTGGTAGAATATTTAGACAGAAATTTAAATTTTCATAATTATACATAGTACAACATAAAATTAATAACTTCGGTATTTTATTACGTAATACTTATTTGCAGCTAAAAAGCGTCCAAAATTCAGCCCCGTTCGTAAAACGTTAAAGAAATCCCCTTTTTTTAAAAGTTCCCATGTAAGGGCGTGCTCTGTAGGTTAAGGGAATTCCGCTGCCTGACTCTCAAATTTAAGACAGGTTTCACCCCTTGAATGTCAATTACTTACGCCTACAAACTTTTTGATCACCCTTTAATGGCCTTTTAATCCGAAGCTTGGGTTGTCCGTTAAATTTTTGTGAACGCTTGATTCTGTATTTGTCGACGAAGAATAACTAAACGTCACTTCTATTTCCTGAACCGGTTTGTATTTCATCTTCAGAGGGTTAAGTGTAGATTCGTAAATTCTCCTGCGGAAGCGTTCTGATGTTGCAAAATAGAGGGCAGAGCACATATGGAACACAACGACTTTTGATGACTCAGATATATGGGGCTGGTGCTCTTTTTTCATGAATATATGGTCGTTGGTTCTATATCTAACCTCAGTGTCAGTTCGTTGGCTTTGAACAACAACGGTTATAAACGAAACACCTATCCCAACTAGAAGTCCGTACGGTAAGTCAAGCAGGATTCCACTTGAACACGTGGCTATCCAAATAACCATGTCGTAAATATTCACCCGGTACAGTTTCGGCAAACTTCTCACTTGAAGCAACAAAGGTTTCACAGAAACAAAAATCATGGCAGCCAAAGCCGGAACCGGAAGTTGCGCAAATAGTTGCCCAAGCACATACAGAACTAATAACATTACACATGTTGTAAACAAACCGTTTAAAGTTGTTTTAGCACCCATAGAACTAAGAATCATGTTCCTTGGTGGAGATACGGAAGCCGGAAAACAAGGAAAGAAAGAGCAGCCTACGTTCGTCAACCCATATGCCATCAGTTCTTTATTGTCATTAATTTCGTATTCATTCTGTTCCGCGCATACTTTTGCCATGGCAATGCTAAGAAAAAATATAAGCAACGCCATCTGAAAGCATTCCGGAAATATTTCAACATATAAGCTAACGTCTGGTAGCTTAGGATCAGGTATGCCGACGGGAATAGAACCAACTACTTCAATACCAAATTTCTTTTCAAGGTTTGTGTATGTTGAAATTATTGTTGCGATGATAATTGTCAGTAAATCTGCTGGTACTGGAACTCTAAGCTTTCTCTTATACCTTTCATTGATAAAATCCTTGATAAATACGATGAATATAACACACAATATAACAATAATCAGAGATGGAACATGAGTGTTTCTTATGTCCTCAAATATGTACTTAAAAGTATAAACCAGTTTCCCAATTCCTTTAACTAGTGGAATTTCAATGCCAAGCCCTTTCGGTATTTGACTCGTGAATATATGGAAAGCCGCTGCAAACGTAAATCCTCCAATAAAAGATTTCGACTGATATGATGTCAGAAACCCCAGTCGAAATATTCCCATGACCACCAAAACGCTCCCACAAACGAAGGTGCACGCAGCCGAAACAACTATCCGGTAGTTTAACAATTCAGTTTTCATTGTATGAGTGGCATGTACAACAGAAATATTAAACTTTGGAAGAAAGCTACTTTTCACTTGGGTATCAATCACTTCTGCCGTGAGGATAGCTATAACAGAATCAGTTGCAAACGACATGTGCTGAGAGGTTCCGAATATTGTGTAGAAGAGTATCGGAAAGAATGAGGAATATAGGCCTTCAACAGGTGTTAGTGACGCCAGTAAACCGTACGCTAAGCCTTGTGGGAAATGTAAACAGGCTACAGAAATCCCACCCATAAAATCTCCTGAAAAAAAAAACAACAACTAAATAACAACAAAATATATAAGACAGTATTTGTATGTATTTTTCTAATTTAAAGACGTACGATAGGGTTTACATATGAGCATATAGCAGAACAGAACTTCTCTAAACTCCAAGTTTGTTTGACAAACAAACATTTCTAGCGTATAATGTTGATCACTTTCCTCGTTTGTGGGTTATGTGCCATTGAATTTGAATATTTTGCTTATTTCAAGGGCAGATAATTCGAAAGGGCAGATAACTCAATGCCTTATTTTTCTGCATTTCATATACATAGTTGACTTTCTTTTGTCAATTTGTGTGATTATGTTGAATTTCAAGAATTGAAATTGAGTAGCTTCTTTAATTTTTCAGTCTTCCTACTTAAAATGAATAAGAAAATATGTAATGAAATTGCATGGAATTTTGTATAAGCACCAAGGATAAAACGAAAATGATAAAGAAAAGGTAAAAATAAGGTTTGTCTGACGTATATACAAGTTATCTGCCTGGATGAACTAATAGACAAATAACTCAGACACGAGGCCGATGACCCACATTGGCCTTCACTTAAAATCTGCCTACTCTCATAGTCTTCGATCATCTTACGCAAATTAGGCCTCAGAAACGAGTAGATTTCTCCTTTCTTATCATAAAGTACGAACATAAGTTTCATTTTTAGAGCGTGTCAGATGTTTAATACCTAATGAAAGTAATACTGAATGTATAATTAGTAATAGAATGAGCATCGAAGCACGAGGCTATCTGATTTGTACGGGGTGGGGGGCGTAGCCCCCGATTATTTATCAGATTGCCGAGCGTTTTGATATTCTTTCTCTTTTGTATCAACGTATTAGATTGCGTACATACATATACAAGTATACTTTGGTACGTATATGGAAAATGGAAATTCATAAGCTTAAACGTTTTTGTTGTTTTTTTTTTTGTGTTTTTTTTTTTTGTGTTTTTTTTTTTTTTTTTTGCTTTAGAGTGAATGATCTCAATAAACGAGAAAATTTCATGTTTGAACGCATTAAAATGAAGATACTATAAAATATTTTAACTAACCAATAATCTTGTTCCTGAAATCAAAACAGTATTTCTGGAGGACTGTTACGATTGGTAGGAAGTAAAACATTAAGTGGAAAATCTTTGCCTTTGTGCAAGAATTTATATATGACATTTTCCCGCTCTGTTCAGGTTCATTTTGTGACCTAGCGCCTTCATATAACGTATCTATATCTGATTGGGTAAACACATCACGTGACACGTAGACGTGCGATGATTGGTCTGTTTGTACTTCCTGGTGTATTCTTTCAAGACCAACGTGGCTGAACACTTTATTGTCATCCGCCGGAAATAATGGAAGACTGGGTATTGCTGAAGCAAAACATAAATGAATTGATTAATAAATTTAAAAAAGATCAATCAATCAATCAATTAATCAATTTTACAACATGGTTGTTCTACATCCGAAAACGATATTCTCACAATAAACGCCAATTCTGCCCCAAATTGCCTTTTTATTATTCAAAAGCTTTTATTTTTGGTACCATATCATGGCATGATATAGTTTCCTAAATAGTTACTCCATTGCCATTACCTGAACCATCCTTAGTTTTGTTGTTGTTTTTATGAATTGTTGTTTTTGGTCATATTCTCTGACTTTTACCTGTTTCCGAAACTGGAAACCAAGCTTCGTGGTAGACGTTTTGGAAGCAATGAAGGTGTCATGGAGGCGGTCAATTAGTTCTTTGAGAACCAAATTAGACAGTTCTATTTTGAAGGGTTAAAAAAGTTGGAGCACAGGTGGGCAAAAGTGGTGTAGAGGGCGATTATATTGAAAAGTAATACCATTAGTTGGGTTCTCGGACTACCGAAAGAACTTTTTGATCAAACCTCGTAATTATAGGTAGATAATCTCTAAGTGGCAGTGAGCAACTATGACAAAAATGAACTGAGAGGTCTACTGTCGTCTCGAGGGTCATCCTCGTTTCTTTCCTTTCCTTTGTTTGTTTGTTGTTCTTTTTTTTTCTTTTTTTTTTGTTGTTGTTTGTGTGTTTGTTTGTTTTTGTTGTTGTTAAATCAGTGGATTAATTGGAAAGAGGGCAGCTTATTGATTTGGGAAAAACAATCGTTAAAAGTTAAAAAGTTTAGGAAAAATCTGAATGATTTCAAAGAAAAGTTCTTTTAGGAATCGGCCTTTTAAAAGCCTCTGTTATGCATTGTAAAACAAAATAGTAGGCCCTATGTTTTCGCTATTAAGTCCTAAATGCGATGACTCCAGTTAAATATTATAACAGGAGCGTGTATATACCCTGATTTTATTATTATTATTGTTAACTTATTGATTTAATTATGATTATATCATGATCAATATATTGGTATAGTGTGAGGTGTATAGAAAAATGCAGGTTTTGGGGAACATGACCCGCATTGACCCATACCCATGGAATTGGGAATTTCATGAATATTTGTTAAAAATTGGGGAAAATGCATGACTTAAATTTGGCAGTGATTAAATGAATAAAAGAATCACTGTCTAGGATGGCATCTTCAAACATTTCAGCACCATAACAGTGAAGAAGCCCTAATTTTCTAAGATTTTAGAATTTGTAATTCAATATTTTTATATTGTAACTTTCAAATGGGAACCTTTTCCTGTTGATTGGGAAAATAATATACTATTTTCAATTGGGAATATGACCGAATTATTCTGTGGGAAAGTTTGTCGGTCCTCGGACCTCGCCAACTAAAAATCAGGAGGGCCGAGATAAATTGTGATACAGTCAGTCCTCATGTCCGAATAAAATTTCAGCCAGTTTGAAACAATTTTTGGCCTTCTAAAATATGCAAAACTTCCAAGATTGATCTTTTTTTTTCATTTTTGCTTGTACTCACAGACCCAGATAACCAAAATCACCGCAAGATATAACCAGTTTTTGCTAAGTAATGTAAGCCACCATCTTGTCTTGGATAATTTTCTTACCAAACCATATTTTTTCTCCAATCTTCAAAATTAAACCTTTGAAAGATGTATCGCTTTCTTGTGAATTTAATATGCTAATGTTTTATTTATTATGTTTCTGTATATTTTTTTTCATAGTATCTTATAGTTGAGTCTGATAATTCATATTTGCTAAATATTTTTGTTTATAATTATGGCAATATCCCTCCCCACCCCTACAAAAAAATACCTTTCAGAGTCCGGGCCGGGAAAAAATCATCAGGGCCGGAAATAAATCTAAGGATTCCAGTCCTTGTGGCTGGAAAAAATGACTTTCGCATTGACTGCCGGGCGGAATAACGGCTATAAAATAAGCCAAAAATCCCTGAAATATGTTATTTTCCTTGTATTGTAAAATCTAGTTAATCATAATGGTTATACTGTATACATTACTGTCAGAAATCTCTCAATTTACAAAGATTTGCTGTGATCTTTTAAATTATTTAAAGATTTTATCTGCCCAAAACAGGAAAACTCTAACAAAATCCTTTTGTACTTTTTTCTGAAATTAAAGTATACTGTAATTATAAACAAATGAATATTGTCACTATTGTACTGTATGCATGTGCGGCAAAAAATGGCCGAAATTGACCCCCCCCCCCCCTTGTTCTTTCGTTATGACCATATCGGGAACATTGATTTAAATTACGTCCCCTTCAATGTCCAAATTCCTATAGAAAAAAATCTTCCCCGATAATACTGTGTGCAGATTTATATTCGTTTAGAATCTTACATGTGTTTTTACAAGCTTCTGTATACTGTACGCCTCTTGACTTGTTTTGACGAATATTTTTCACTGTGTTTATAACTTTATTCCCTGCGGTCTGGGGGGTATTGGTACGCGTATGAAGGAACACGTGACCTGTTTTCGGTACATGGAGGAGCATGTGATCTGTAAACCGTACATGATTGGTTAATTGACCTTTTCGAAAACCTGGCTAAATACCGTTTGCCGGTACGTTACGGATTTACCTCTAGGGAATTAGTAAGAATGACACCTAATTATAAGAATAAAAAATTATTACGTGATGTTTCTAATTTTCTATAATTATTTTACCGTTTAAGGTGGAAAAACTTGAATGATGTGTTTGAAAATTATCAATGTTTCTTTAATTTGTATCTCAAATTTTACAAACAATAAATTCACAGTATATAAACGATTTGAACCCCAACCGGATCTTGTGAGAAGAATTCAGCATCTAAACGTACAATCAGGCGGGATGACACATTAAACTATTAAAAATCGGCTTGAATTTAATATTTTACGGTATGTTAACATTTGAATCATATTAAGAAATAATTTATCTTTGCTTAAATATACATCCATAACCTTCTTCGTAAAATATATGCGCATAAAACGCTTCGCCTCACATTTTGTTTATGTCAACACACGCCGATTACACAAGCAAATGTATGCCTAAAATTGTTTTATTTCACTATAACTCATATCTGAATCTTAACTTTATTGTCTTAACCTCATGTTACCGGACAGACACTTGTGAAAATATCTTTGAATATTGATAAAACATAGTAAATAATAGAGGCGACATTTCTGATAACTGTACCCGTCTTGCTAAAACAATTTTAATGATCTGTACCCTACTTGTGTTTTCACTGAACCATTACTTGCGAGTCACTTTTGATGATTTTTATTGTGTTTTTGTCGTATGTTCCAAATTTTAATGTGCAGAATATGAAGTTATTGTGTCAAAAGAGAAGGGTACATATTTTAGTTCTATGTAAGTAACTAAAACTGCATATGAATGGAGGAGCTTCGTCATGTTTTCACTGTCTACGAAAATACCGGTATGAAGTGGCTGTTTATACGAATCAGAAAGTCAATTATTTCTTGATAGGAATAATTAACTAACAAACCTCACCTTCACTTACCATTCATTTTTCTTTGGAAAGATATAAAGCTAAAATATTACATATGTACTATAAATTGTTTACATTTAGTTCAACACATTGTTGTTAGTTTTGACGTGACCGTTATATAACGTCACGTATCAAAAAACCTCGAAATATCATTACAAGATTTTTTTGCAGATTACTTATTTCAACATGTTGAAAGCTTTACACCTACCGTTGATTTCATTCTGCTTTTTTAAACACTGTTTTATATTCTCAGAAATTCATTGACTTTCTTTTTCTGACATGTACGACTTTTATTTTTGTATATCTTTCATAGACGTCGACAATTTTGGCATTTTTTTAAACGGAGAATATCTGGGAAATTTTGAAATTTTAATTGTCAGTGTTTCAGCTATTGGTGTTATAAACTTCTTTTTTTTCGTTTACGTTATTGGCTGTGACGTTGAAATTTTTTAAATAGGAAATTTTATTCTGATCATTATTTATTATTTTCAAGTTGCAGTCTGGATGGCGAATAATTATGTGATGATGTCATTGAAATTCGTAGTCTTTACTGAACAGTATATGCAGTTGTATTCTTCCATGGTGATCCGAAAGAAAAATATACATAGCATTATATATTTTATTAAACAAAATCACAATGAACGTAAACTTTTTCTCCAATAAATCTTTAAAAATACTCACAAGTCAGGGTACAGATAAAATTCGTAAACTCACAAGTAGGGTTCACAATCACCAGCAAGTAACGTTCAGTTTACGGAAATGACCTCCTTGGTAAAACTCTTAAATTTATGTTCAAGATACAGCAATATGTTATGCATATGACTAAATTATCGTTTGTTATTGATTACTTTAGTAGTTCGATATCACAATTCAATGTTTAACTAAATCAACATTGGAATAAGACGGATTTTTGTTCGTGTTCAGTGTTGATCACCTGAAAGCTGTTCGTGAGTTTCGATTATTTTATAGCCTTCGTGCTAACGTTTATGTTTTGCATAACTTAGACGTTTAATAAAGTTTCTCTCTCGCAATATAAATATAGATTTACTAACCTAACGTTCATCAGTATCAATATAAATACCAATATCGTAAACAAGTGAAGTGGCAGAATATGGCTGACACTAAAATCTTCTCACAAGATCCGGTTGGGGTTCAAATCGTTTATATACTGTGAAATTGTTTATACTGAAAATCTACAAAATTAAAATATTCGTAGAGGCATCTGCCATAATAAATAGAGATATTTTTTCTGCGTAAACTTGTGTGTTTACTTTTTTTTGCTCGGAATTATTCATAAAAAGGTAGGCACATTTAATAATTTTCTTAAAAAGAAATAATTGTTTTATGTTCGACCTTCTCCGGTCATCAACGGTCACCAGTTTCCAAATACCTTCTTCTATATTGATCGATGATTGTCAACTATATTCCTGATACAAATGTTTATTTATTTCCCCCCAAACAATGTTGAAAATAGTTAAATGAAATATCTTTTTATCATTAAAAATGTTCCCCGCAGGAAACCATTTTACTTGTACAGTACTGTACAGTACATAGAGTGATGCTTTAGATACGATATAATTATGTTCTACAATTTGAAATTTACAAATAAGTTATATTTAAATTAAAGTTCTTCAAACATCATACTTTACAGCTTAATGATAAACACATAGTAAAACAATCTTTATCCAGAAAGAAAGCTGTATCCGAAAACAGAAATGTTTAAGAGCAACACAGTATTTATGTTGAGTCTATGTCCTTGACTAGGCCTATCTACATGCACTAGATATCTTTAAAGATTACTTACCTTTAAAAAACGCCATATTTCAGAAATAGTATCTATAAATTTCATACAAAAAGCAGTTTGCCAAACAATATTATTATTATCTTAGTTTTTTTTTGTATCTGTTTTTTGATGACGTCATATTTCTATTACGTCACAAAAGTGCTTTTTCTACAGTCAGTTTCATGTAATCCATACCGTGCATTTTTTTAAATAAATATTATGGAATGCCGGTAGGGACATGCCAATTTGCTTATTTGCCAATTGCTGAATTGCTATTTGCTAATTGCCGATTTGCTTATTTGCCAATGGCTGATAGGCTTAATGACAAATTTGCTTATTTGCCAATTGCTGAATTGCTAATTTGCTTATTTGTTAACCGCTTGTTTACGTATTGCTTATTTGCCAATTGCTAATTTGCTTTTTTGCGATAGAAATAGTTTACACTGTGCCAGAAGTATATGGAAAATCTGACAACAGACAACCAGTTGAGTCAGATCTGTTAACTTTTACCAACAGTATTCTTGTAAATTCAATACTGTTGGCAATGAATTTAGTTGCAGTGATGCCTACGCAGATATATGTCTACAACTGATGGCTGACATGCCCTTGAGAACACAGACACCTTGGTTCAGATCCCGTACCCCAACGTGATACGCCCCTGTAAACACACTATTAAATTTTCTATAATATTTAATCACGAATTGGCATCGATAAAACTGGTTTTCAAACAATTTTTACATACAGTATGCCGGTATGAAAAATACCATATACCACCAAGTCTCAATAAAGCACTTAAAATGGTTTTATCGTTGTAACAACAGATTAATGTAATATAACTCCGTTCTGTAACGGATGTCCAATTCGTATTTAAATATTAAAATAATTTTGATATAGTGTTTACAGAGGCGTATCACGTTGGGGGCAGGATCTGACCCGCCAGCATCTGTGCTTGAGAATATCTAATAATGTTTTGCAGCTATAGATCTGTTTGTGCAGAGATTGATGGCATAATAAACACTTGATTAGTAATATATAAGTGAAAATTATTTGGTAAAGATTGAAAATAAAAGAACTTGAAAACAAAACTATTTCTTATTTTATGGCATATAAAATGTCGTTATTCTCAGCAGATTTGTCACAGAGGGCCTCATTTTATCGGTACGAACACATAGTATCACGAATGATACATTTGGTGCATGCTTAACACGGGTGTTTGTCTTTACACTTTAGCAATAGGCTTCGTTTTTAGCTCTGTAAGATTTTGAGATCACTTATGTCTGTGTGTGCATCAACATTTTGCTTTGGTTCAATGTTTTTGAAATTGTGTCACACTTTTCCATTTCTTCATGTTGTACATTCAGGTACGTATATCATGTTAATATACGTACCTGGTAAATTTTACATACTATCATGTGACCATGACCATGCTCATGACCTAGGGTATAATGGACAAAGCCTCTTTAAATATTGTGTATGCATGCTACCTATTTAATGCTTATGTGAAGTTACAGTTAGCTATAAGCAATAGTAACAGAGATATGACAGAAACTAAGGCTTCTCATCACAATACATTGGTGACCTTGACATTCAGTTCATTTTGTATATAACGGGCACAGCTTCTTCATGTACCTTGTATGCATGCTTGTAACGCAAAGTTTATGCAAAGTTGCAGTAAGATACATGAATCAGCAAAAGTAACTGAGATATGACAGAAAAACAAGTTACCAAGAAAACCAATGCAGTGGTGGGTAGGATAGCATCCCTATTCTCTGAATAGTGGAGCAAAAACTGAAACTCAAGATAATTAAAAAAACAACTAGATCTACTTTCTGAAACTGAATTTATTTTTTTCGAAACTGATTAAAATGTATCCATCTGTCTTTCTACCTATATTCTAGGTAATGATGGATTGATCACAATTGTCACAAGTTATAATTAACAAAACTTTATAAACATAATAACATGAAATAGATTCATGAGCTTGAAATAAAGTCTACAAAGGCTTGTTATTTTATATTTTTATTTATTTCATTTCCAATAGGCTAATAAGCCCATGAGGACAACATATTACAAACATAATATATATGACATGACAGAGTAATGCATGATAATGATAATAATACATCTCTTTTTCAAATATTTGAAATATAGGAGAAGGTTGAAACTCAACCTTAAAATAACTTCTCCAATAGAGGAGAAACAATTATTCAATACAATACATTATAATATATATGCAATCATGGGAATAGTACTCCAATTTTAGTCAACCTTTATCGAAATCGAAAACAAAAGAGAAAAGGTCAACTCATTGGCTATTCGTGAAACATCATCATCAAAATAACTGTAGATTGATTCAAATATCATTATTATTTTTTTCTTTTCTCTTTGAAACTTTTAGTATTGAATTTTATATCTTGAAAGGAGTAATATTTCCACTGTGCTGTGGCAACCAAAAGAAGAGAAGAAGAAAAATGCTGAGATATATACATTAATTTACATGTATCATTGCCCGTACATAACGTTATTTCTAATAGCAAAAGCGTTGTATACATATATTCCTAAATTTCTTATTACAGTTTTGTTATCAGATTTAATCAATTCTAAAAATTTAAACATATTTGGTCTATTCCAATAGTATCTTGGTATATACTTTTTCCTTAAATCATTGTAAAGATAGCATTCAATTACAAAATGAAATTCATCCTCCAATAAACCACATAAGTTACATTTCCTTTCATTTATTTCAATTCTTACTGGACGTGCCCATCTACCTGACTCAATTTGTAACCTGTGTGATGAAACACGCAATCTAGATAATGCGTGGCAAAATTTATTCATTGAAAAACATTCAAGATATGGCTGACTTTGGAAAGATGCTATGTTTCTGTAAAATAATGCTCTGCTTGAATCATTTAGTCTACTATGCCAGTTTTGAATAAATTGATCTGTTAATCTTTGTTTAACTGAAGATAAAAATAATTCAACATCACCAACATTTTGCTCTAACCAAGCATCATAAAAACCAAGAGAACATAATAAATTTTTAACCATTTATATCAAACAAGAACTTCGCGAGTCGGACGTGTCACCTGACAATAGTATAAACATTTATGTATATAGGCAAATAAGCAATTAGCAAATAAGCAAATTGGCAAATCAGCAAATTGGCAAATCAACAATTAGCAAATAAGCAATTAAGTAGATGGCAAATAAGCAAAGTGGCATGTCCCTACCGGCATTCCATAAAATATACTGTAAGATTATTTTAGAATCATGTGCGAATCCAAAGAAAACATTTCATTGTTTCGGTGAAATCCTCCGATAAACGAAAATATTTTACAGTACTGTATAGCTAGCTAGATCTAGATCTACATGTTTAAAACAAAATGAATGCATGGCGATGCATATTTTGTGTCCGGTCCATAACTTTTTCATCTTCAGGTTGATCAAATAGACCTTCAAGGGATTTTGAAATGACTAAATGTCACCATAATTTTTAAGACATTGTGCCCTGAGCAACACTCGGACTCCTGCCTCAAAGGTCAACATTACTATTTTGTGACCTTCCATTAATGTTTCATCAATTAGATCTAAATGATTTTAAATGACTTAGCATATAAGTCCATATATCATCTTTAATAAAGACTCATCCATATAAAAGAACATAATCATACAACATTTCAATCACAAATTGTAAAACATAAGATCATAAAGTTGCCTGTATGGTCACTCTGATGAGAATATTATTATAGGAGACTGCAATTATATGAAAAGGGAGAGAACTCCTCAGCCCATACTGAAAGTACTTCCAATATGTACTTAAGAGTTACCTTTCTTTTCTATGCTGATTTGAAAGCTTATCTCGTTTGGAAAGAATTTTCAATGCCCATAGCGATTTTGCAAAGAACATCCTAGCATTCCTTAAGATTTCAGTAAATGTCATAAAATTTCCTGAACTGATTAGCAGCTGTTTCTTAACATTTAACTCACATATATTTATTTCTTAATGAAATCTTATCAAAGTGTACCCGACATTGACAAATATTGATATACTTATAAAATAATCCATTTTCAATCTGAATAAATCCATATATATCTATACGAGAATAAAAACATACCAGCTCTATATTCAGCTCTTCAAATATTGGAGGAAATAAAAGTATCTATCTATATATCAACAGTTAAAAGCTATTTGAAATAGCCTTGTTAAAGGTCTTGTTCGAAGTTATAGAATCTAGGCAATAGATAGTATGCTTTCATATAAGAATAATCGACAACCCAATTTGTCAATCCATTTGTACTGATCTAAAAACTCATAAAAGAGATAGCGAATTTAAGCTTTACTTTGTTTATTTGTGTAGAATAAAGCAAAAATAAACAAGATGTTTTCTCCAATAAAGTTAAGTTGCATCGTATAAAACACTTTAAATGACAACTTGCGTGCAAAGTTTCACTTGCAATATTTATGTGGGAACAAAAAATAGCCAACAAACAATATTCTCGGTGGCCAACTTGGATGCTGTTTTGCATTTCTAAGGTTCTCTTCAGACATGTGCCTAATTAATTTTCATTCCAGAAACTACAGACGAAGACGAACAACTTGGTATTTAAAACTTGCTGTTGGAGTACATAGAAAGGTTGAATGTCATTAAACGCACTATTAAAATAATTACTGCATTACATTTTACACGTATCTGTGTTTACATTCATTCAACTGACTTGATCTAACGACACTTCTGTTGTCATAAACTTAAGTTGTAATGTTTCGAGATTTGAAAACCTACATTCAAAAGTGTTACTACAAAATTGTATTTTTTCTTGATAAAATAACTTTTTGCATATGTATGTTTATAACAATCCATTAGCAGTGAGTTATTGGCTGCGAATGCTGATGATCTCGTTAGAGAAACTTTGCTAGAACTGGCCTTCAAAATACGCCTCGGTTACCCGTATGACTTAAAAATTGAAAGAGTCCAAGCCACCAAAGCCATAGAATTCGGGAACGGGATCGCAGATTGCGGCGCATATTTCCAAAGAAAAATGATTCTCCTACATCTAAATATCTTTTCGTATTATCCTAGTTTATGACCTCAAAGAATTTAATATCAATTTAACACACTATTTTTATAGAGAGAGAGAGAGAGAGAGAGAGAGAGAGAGAGAGAGAGAGAGAGAGAGAGAGGGGGGGAGAGAGAGAGAGAGAGAGAGAGAGAGAAGGAGAAAACAAATCTAGTCCATATATGTATATTACTACGATTCATGATACACATTCTGATTGTTTTACTATAAAATTTGATGAACGAAAATATATTTTCTTTTAAGGTTTTTTTAAATTCAGCAAGGTATGTTTCTCTAATTTAACAATAATCGCAACATAGGATATTGAAGCGTAAAAATATTTTCTCCATGTTAAACTGCGCACATCTTTTTGATGTCGCAAAAAATATACACACGGCTAGTTTGGCAGACACTGCTTGACTGCTATGTACTCGTCCATTAGTCAATTTAATTATTTAATTTGTATTAAATTTCGTACTCAACTATGTAAAACAACTTCATGATACATTATTTTGGTTTATTTGATTCAAATAGTGGAGAGATAATGAAAAGCAAACCTATACTTAATATAAAATACTTAGACAAACAAGTAGCACACTTTGATGTATAAAATATCGATACTAGCTTTAGTTATTGTCAATATCACTTTAATACTCTTTTTCTTACAATTAATCCATTAGTGATGGCAACTGTAAGTTAGTATGCTCAAATTCTAAGCGTGATGTAACATTAGTTTTCTTAAACATAATACATGATATGAAAAACGCGAAAAATTGTTTCCGCGAACGAATTCAGTATATTCATTCTATGTTTCAGGTTAAAAAACTACAATAAATTAATTAACATTATAGATATGTTATTACGTTTCCGTAGAAATCCAAGTTTAATATAAAGCAAAAGTCATATAATATCACAATAAATACTACATCAACAATTAAAAATCATCATAGTTACAATGATACATTTCATACTACATGCATATCCCACATTCGTTGTCATTTTGTCGAAAGTTAGCTCCGTTTTATCACATGATGATGACGTCATGTTATAAGTAATTGCACATATAATGTTGAACAATAGTAAATATTCTATAAACTTCATTTAGAAAAGACCCAACTTTAGTCTGTTTATGTATTTTTCAGCATAATAATTATCAATGTGAAGACATACACATTTAGCGCCGTTGTTCATATTATGTCTGCGGTTTATACTGATTTCAGTTAATTTTTCACAATATCTTTCTAGGAATATATCAAAAATCCTTGATGTATATTCCTGCAAAGTACAAGATAAAAAGAGATAGTGTTTCACATTTTATGATAATTCAGTAGTGAATCATGAATAATTTAATTAAACAAGGTTAGGTATGATTAACATATAAAATAATTAAAGTAACCCAGACTATTTATGTTGAGAAAAATCCCATATAAATCTACATGGCATATTAATTAGTGTTAGCTGACGCGATATTTAGGACTCTCAGCCTTTGGTAATCATAATAATTATATAATAAATATAAACGTTATAATGTCATTTATTATATACTTATAAATTAAATATTGAGAAATATTGATGAAATAAAATTCGTATTTTCATTTTCCATATTTTCACTGTACAATTTATTTTTTACTGCAGTGAAGCATATTTCCCGTATTTTCACTGGTGTCTTGCCGGGCGACTTTCTTCTAGCTTCCACCAGAACACAAAATGTAAGAAAGGTATTTCAAATTGTAATGTCAAAAAGGAGAAAATGAACATAATGAACTGAAAATCTTGTGGTATTAAAATTAATTATATTTTACTCGTGGCTACTGCCACTCATAAAATATTGATTTTCATACCACTCGATGAAAATAAATCCTGTATTTCTTCGTGAAAGATAAGAAAAGCTTAGTGAAACCAACTTTATTCGACAACTGAACGAAGCAAAACAATTTACCACCTCAGGACTCTCATATGATGCCATTTCTTTCTTTAGATAGGCCTTGTCTTCTTTTGCAAGTTGTCGTTCAAAGTATAGCTGAAAAATAATGATAAACTTTTTTACAGGAAATAACAAATGTCAACTTTCAATTTCGGTAATTTTTTATTAAGTGATGTATTAAGTATAATATAAGATAATCTCAACAAAACACATACTTATGAATAAAAGTGCTAGCGGATGCTGATAGAAGAAAAAGAAAGATAATTATTAACTTGCTGAAGTTGCTGTAATCTCGTTCTTGCTTTAATGGCATCACAGATATGCCTAAACTTTTGTTAATTTGTTTCGATTATCTTTCAAACTAAAGTATAATATGTACCTGACATGGCTTGAAGTTGATGCGCATCACATAAAACTCAAATTTCTTACAAATATGTCAAGGTTAATAATAAAGATTTTTAAAATCAGAACAATTTATAATCTGCTATCATTAAGAATAAGCGAAAAAGCATCTCTGAATATATTCATCAACATCTGACAGCCTCGGAAAAAATGTCAATATCAAATACATTGATTCAATCTTATGCACTCTTTATAGTTGATATAAGTATAAATGATCAACCCGGTTATAACAGAGGTAAATTTGAAGATTTTTGTCAGATCTCTAAAATACGAGTTTAAACAATAATTATTAACAATCTTACTGAGTATGATGTTTCCGTACTACCATTTTGAAAAAAGTTACAACAATGTCTAATCCATCTATCATTTATATGCTATCAAGTAAACATGAAAATAATGAAACTAATTTACAATAACTATAAATATAACATTCATATATGGTTATTTTTTAACCAGGAACGGAACATATAGGATACTGTTTCCATAAATGTGTGTTGCTTTAAGAAAAATATTACTCCAGTCTGTTGATGGGTCCGTCGACTTATTTTCCAGAGTTTTTCACGTAATATATCCCATAACTACAACAGAAATTAAAAGAATGTAAGTATGTTTACAAACATCGTTTGATTCACTTACATTATATATGACAGCCACATAGCTGATAAGCAAAATAAAAAGTTGCCCAGCTAATGTGAAAAAATAAATATCTTTTTCACTACATGGATGGTAGCTGTCAATAAATGGTAAGCTATAATCAAGTCTCAAATTACAAGTAATAGAAAGAGCACCGAAACACGAGGCTATCTGATTTGTACGAGGGGGCGTAGCCCCTCGAGTATTAATCAGATTGCCGAGTGTTTTGGTGTTCTTTCTCTTTTGTATCATAGTCAAACATAAAAGCACGTTCCCTGTTGTCACAATATGAAACCCCGGCAAAAATGAACCAATGAACGAACATCTGAATATGACATTTCTGTCGCTTTCCCTTTCTCTGCCGTCAAAATATGTAAACCCCAGCAAAAATGAGCCAATCAATGGGCATGCTCTGGAGTGCGGGTAACTAATACCCGCACTGCAGTTAACGCACTGTGCATGTATATGTATACGATTTAACCCTGACACATTTTCAACAGAAAGGTCTCCAAACTATGATACAAAAGATATTAAATGATAATTATTTTTCACCACAAACTAAGCTAACCGCTACTGACCATCATTTTATACATACATTTACACATTTCAAAAGAAACGTTTTAAGTTTTTGCTATTTATTTCACAAGCATAAAACATAATTGTATTTTACTATATATTTATAGCATGTCCATTAATTGTACGTCTTACCTTCAATTTGAGTCTAAACAATCCTTGTTTTTGACAATCACAGCAACAGAGCACTATCGATATGATAATATATGATATAAACCAAGTTGGTAAACCAACAGCAAGACACAGTGCAGGTGATGTTAATTTATCTGGTCTCTCCCTTACCGACATCAACAGTAGTATTGAAAAGATGATCATGATAAGTATCAAGAGATACAAATACAAGACAGATATAAGTAGATACGGGTGAGTAATAACATGATATAGTCTAAAGAAGAATGATTCATTGACAGTGTCCTCTATTTCTTGCAGTAACTCTGCTGATACCTGAAGAGGTATAAAGAAATTTATTAATATTATGAAGATGCACACACATTTCTATATGAGTATAACCAACCTTATACAAATAAATTAGGGCAACATGAAACATTTTTATAGATATTATTTCTGAATTGCTGATGATTTCGTCTATTTTATTCCGTCACCTAAAGTAAAGACAACAAGAAATGTCGAACGACACATATGTCCCTCTTACTCACATTATTGGTAATTTAGTTAGAGATACTTGTCATAAATGGGTACATGGAAGTGTTCAATTATGGAAAAAATGAAAAATAATGAAGACTGAATAGTTTTCAAGATAACGGACATTTAAGGCCCCTGTGACCTAGACCTTTGAACTAGTGACCCAAAATCAACAGGGGTCATTTAATAGTTATGAACAATTAATATATGAAATATGAAGACTTTTTGATAAATAGCTTTCAATATAATGAGCGGAAACCATACTAACATTCAAGAACCCTGTGACCTTGACCTTTGACCTAGTGACCCAAAAAGCTGTAGGGGTCACTTACTAATTACTAGTTATGATCAATCAGTATATGAAATATGAAGACTTTTTGATAAATAGTTTTAAATCAGCGGAAACCATTCTGACATTTAAGGCCCCTATAACCTTGACCTTTGATCTAGTGACCCCAACAGCAATACGGATCATCTGTTGGATATGACCAATCACTATGAAATATGAAGACTTTGTGATAACTATCTTTCAAAATAATGAGCTGAAATCACACTAGCATTTAGAGACCCTGTGACATTGACCTTTGACCTGGTGACCCAAAAATAAATAGGGGTCATCTACTAGTTTTGACCAATCAATATGTGAAATATGAAGACTTTGTGATAAATTTTTACCAAGATAATAAGCAGAAATTACATAACCATTCAAGGCCCTTATGACCTTGACCTTTGACCTAGTGACCCCAAAATCAAAGGGGGTAATCTACTATCTATGACCAACCAATATGTGAAATATGTAGACTTTGTGATCAACGAAAACGATTCAGACATTTAAAGCCCCTGTGACCTTGACCTTTGACCTGGTGACCCCAAAATCAATAGGGGTCATCTCCTTTTTATGACCAATCACCATGTGAAATATGATGACTTTGTGAGGAATACTTTTTAAGACAATCAACAGAAACCATTTTTACATTTAAGACCCCTGTGACCTTTACCTTTGACCTAGTGAACCCAAAATCATTAGGGGTTATCTAATAGTTACGATCAATCAATATGTGAAATATGCAGACTTTGTGACGAACTTTTCAAAATAATCAGGGGAAACCATTTTGACATTTAAGGCCTTTGTGACCTTGACCTTTGACCTAGTAACCCCAAAATTAATAGAGGTCATGTTATAGTTATGATCAATCAATATGTGAAATATGCAGACTTTGTGACGAACTTTTCAAGATAATCAGTGGAAACCATTTCAAAATTTAAGGCCCCTGTGACCTTGACCTTTGACTTAGTAACCCCAAAATCAATAGAGGTCATCTAATTGTTATGACCAATCACCTTGTGAAATATGATGACTTTGTGATGAACACTTTTTAAGATAATCAGCGGAAACCATTTTGACATTTAAGGCCTTTGCGGCCTTGACCTTTTACCTAGTAACCCAAGAATCGATAGGGACCATCTACTAGCTATGACCAATCACTCTGTGAAATATGAAGACTTTGTGATAAATAGTTTTTAAGATAATCAGAGGAAACCATGTGGTCTACCGACGGACAGACCGACAGACAGACAGACAGACCAACATTAGCAAAACAATATACACCCTCTTCTTCGAAGGGGGGCATGAAAATTATTATAAACATGTGCTATTCATAAAGCAATTTAACTACTTACTACTTTCTTTTGGATTAAAAAAATCTGCAGTTTACTTATTTCTTCTACCTTACTTCATTCTGCTGTTTCGTTGCTCTCATGGGATTTACCCTCACCGTCCTCACCCTGTCCAAGGGGATTTCCCAACCGCCCCCACCCTATCCAAGGGGATTTCCCAACCGTCCCCACTCTATCCAAGGGGATTTCCCCCACCGTCCTCATCCTGTCCAAGGGGATTTACACACCGTCCAACCCTTGCCAAGTGAATTTCCCAACCGTCCCAGCCTATCCGTCCTCATCCTGTCTAAGGGGATTTCCCCATCGTCCTCATCCTGTCTAAGGGGATTTCCCCACCGTCCCCATCCGGTCCAAGGGGATTTTCCTACCGTCCCACCCTGTCTAAGGGGATTTCCCCACCGTCCCCATCCCGTACAAGGAGATTTCCCCAACCGTCCCCACCCTGTCCAGATGTTTACCACTTTTCACTGACTTTCATTTGATTTACAACTTTGACTTAATTTACTATATTTTACAGTGAAGAATTTGATTATGGTTAATTGCCTTCAAATATACTTTCTTTAAACTGCATTAAAATTTTAATTAAAAAATTTTGTACTTTAAAAATGATTTAAAAAATGAAACGACCAATAAACAAGGAAAAGGCCCCGGGGTTTAATTGGGCCAAAACCCCCCCCACGGGCCCCAAAAAGTTGTTTTTTATACAAAACCCCTTCATAAATAAATAATGAAGGTCACATAATTGGTTACCTCGAACTTTTTTGTCCATAACCTGGCTCTGTCCATTTCCGTTATTTTCAGTCTGTATCTTTCCAATGAAAAACGGCTGGGCTTATATGCTTCTAAATCAAATGCACTGTACTCCCCGTTTGAATCTGGATAGAAAAGATATATTGAAAAAAAAAACGTTCTTGGGACAACATAAAAAGATATTCTTAACAGAAATGTATGATATCAAAATTCCATGTGGAATGGTGTAGTTTATAGAAATTGTATTCAATAGATGGTCTCATTAAACGCTAACAATGTTCTTTATAAATATCATTTGTTTAGTGTCAAACATGGGAAATGATATATGGACTGGATTATCAAATACAATGTATGTAATATATTGGATATGCAGAGTCCAATGCAGATAATGGATTAGACGAACCCGGGAAACAAGTCAGAAATCATCAATTGTATGTAAATAATGCGTAAATAATAATAATATAATAACATAGAATTATTTTTAAGCATAATTTATTGAAATTACAATATTAAATTTAGCCGAAAATCCTGCCCGTTCGTAATAAAATATTTTTACCTTCCTTTAGTGCAATCTGTTGTTCTAAAACAAAGAAACAGAAAAAAAAATAATTCAAAGTCCATGACATTAAACATCTTTGTGTAGAACCGCCCGAAAGTAATTACTGTACAGTTATATCCTTCGTTGGGCTGTTAAATATAGTTGCTTAGATATAAAGGTTTTAATTCATATAGATTTGACAGACAGCATAATATAACAACAACATATCTTTCGAGTATATTTCAAGCGGTCTTCAAGTTCCAAGTTCTTTAGGGACGGACAGACCGACGAATTGACCGGCGGAGGGTAAATATTTAAAAAAGATCCTGGTTGTAACCAGAATAAATATCTGACATATGTTTGCGGCTCAGATCGGAATATCCATCCCTTGTGAACCCGCCCATGGTTTTCAACGGCACGGACATATGACAAGACATATATTATTAATCAACCTGTTTCCGATATGAGTTTGACAAGAACATCTTTACAGGATGGAGGCAAATTTGGTCATTTTTTGCATTTTTAAACACATTTTGTAGAATACTACGAGGCAAAGCTACACGACTGATATCAAAGCCGTAGCCAGGCCATAACGTTCCAATCAATGCGTTTTACATGAAAAGTCTAAGAAAACTAAGTGAACTTTGGGCGAGAATATCTTAAAGAAGCACCGGTCCCTCCAGATTCATGCTAATTTTTTCATGAAAATTTTGAAAATGTATTTGAATGTGTAGTATTGTGAAGTACCCAAAAGTAAGCAATAAACATATTATTAATGGCACTTACAAACCACGTAAAATACAAAAATGTGGTCAAAATATGCATAGCCTTTACTTCGTTAGTACGCAGTAGAAATATAGTTGACTTGTTAATACTAAAAAATCAGTCATTAATCGCACACTATATGTAAAATATTACTTGAATCTTGAAACTTTTTACTTTTCCTTACATATTAGCACATTTTTCTCAAATTTGATTTTATTGAAATATTTTGACTCATCTGGAGGCATGTAGCTTTAACAAACAAGGAAAATGTGATCAGTCATATGACAGAAAACGGACGGGATCGCAATGGAACTATATGCGAGATGAATTCAAGTATTTATAAGTTCCTCACCTTTCTTCACCATTGCATCAATGATTTTTGTGTGCGCTTCATCAACGGCTTCCTCTACATCTATATAAACGAGATGTTGAAGGCAGGCTGGTATGGAACAGGGCTCAGTTCTTATAGGTATGAGGTTGTAATTTCCACGAACTCTTAAATTAAACGCCTTGTCGATTTCATCCTTGCAGTAAAGACTATTTTCAAATTCCTCCGAAAGAACAATAAGCATATTCATGCTTTTACCTATAGCTTCATACATGTTGTCCGTTATTGATCTTCCCGGAGTAAAATCTCTCTCGTAATAACAACATACGACTCCTTCTTTCTCCAAATTGTCAACAATTTCTTCAACAATACACAATGAATTTCGTTCGTAGCAAACAAACAAGTGATATTTTTTGTCATGAGGTAAATCTGGTATTTGAAAAGTGGTTTCCATATTTCCTGTTTTTATGTCTATATCTTATATCAATAATCAAATTACTTCCTTCCACATAAATGTTCTATTTAAACGTATAACTATTACGTACTAAATGTTACACAAATAATGAACCTAATATTCTATGCAACGGCATAGATGTTTTCCCCATCGATTGACACGCATAACTTCCTCTTTCGATTTCGCTTCATGATGTTCGGTCTTATTATTTTGATGATTATTTCATCCACACATGTAAGTATTTTATTAGATTACTCGTATACAGTTACTAAGTATGATATGATTCGTCTGAATTTAAGCTTTAATCGTCCGTTACTTATTAAGTATTTCTGTATTTGAAAGAAAACTTATGTAACAATAATTATGCGATATTGTTTCATATATGTTTAACTTGCTGTACTCTAGTATGACTCATTTGCATATGTTGTATATGTTTTACTTTTACACATTTACTGTGCATTTACTGTAAACCTCAGTGCAATACAGCATTCGGAGCGTACTTCGTGTTTAAATAACACAAATAAAACTCAATAAAATGCAATTTAGATTTATAAGACAACACACCGTACAATCAAATGGGCAGACAGCTGTTCCAGCGTCGACAGCTGTACCAGTTTATACATGTCGGTGCGGGGAATGAAATTGACGTACGGTAAATATTCATCTATTTTTAACATATCCCAACTGTGTTCGAGTAAATTCATAGTCTACATCCAAAGGCAAAAAAGTTTTACTCTTTCCTAGTTACTGTAGCACAAAAGCGCTGAAAATTGTTTCTGTGAACGGCTTTCAGCGTGTTTCATTGTTGCCGATGAATTGCTGTCGATGTTATCAATAAAAAAGAGTCGAACAGCTGATGACGTAACTAAAATTTTGATGACGTTCAAACTTAAATACCTTATAACTTTAACAGAAAAGCTTTTTTGAAGGTATGGTTTGGAATATTTAATGACGAAATGTTGACGTTTACGAATCGTATAAAAAACGGATTTATTATCATAATAAAATATAAGATTTTGTGACTTTAAACTAAAAATACCGCATCTCATCGGATAGTGTGGTTATTTTCAGTCAAAATTCACGTGAAGTAAAGCTTGCACAGGGCCAGAAATTTGTTAGCATGCTCCTTAGGATGTTGACTATGAATCCATAACATTGATTTACTCGAACACAGTTGGGATATGTTAAAAATGAATGAATACTTACCGTACGTCAATTGCATTCCCCACGCCGACATGCATATACTGGTACAGCTGTCGACGCTGGAACAGCTGTCTGCCTATTTGATTGTACGGTGTGGACAAATATTTCGGCAAAGAGCGATTTCATTGGCGAACTGTTTTTAACTGTCTGTCCTTTAAAAAAAGTTTAATTAAACTGTACAATAGTACTTTACACGAATATCTTATGGAATGTTACTAGTATTTTATTTATTTATTTATTTATTTATTTATCTATTTTTGGGTCATATATGGTATGGATGATCCAAAGAACACAAGATAAAATTGTGATTGCCTTAATCAGTTAATAAAATATAAAATCATGAAAATTCAACCAAAATAACCAATTTGATCTTTTACACACCTTAATGAAAAGCCCTGCTACCAACCATAACCCTTTATGCAAGATAAAATTACTTGTTTTACCATTGGGCACATAAGCACTTTTTTTGGAGTTTTCATTGTAACATTATGTCAATCTGCCATGTTCCAGACTAATTATCGCGAAATGCATAGTCACTATTACTGACTTAAAAATACAATTTTAAGTAAAAACTTAAAATACAATTTTATGTAAATTCAGTTTGGTTGTATTTTTATTCAAGGTAAAACACGGAGATGAATATCTTGAGTCATCTATAAAGATAAAGATCTATAAAGGCAGATAATCAAGCAAAAATCACAACATATTTGTAAGAAACCTTTTCATCTTCAAAAAAAGTATACTCCAAACAACCCTAAGCAGTTAAAAGCCATAAAAACCTTTAATTTCTTACATAGCTGCGACCATGTACCACTCTCAAAGGTTGAAAATGATCATTTCAAGATCTCAGCTTGACAAAAAGAAATTGTCTTATGCTTAAAAGTAATGGTAATGATACTGCATTACTTGGTCCATGTAGTGGTAATGTACTGCATTACTTGCCCAAAATCAATGGTACTGGTACTGATACTGCACGAAACCCCAAAGTAATGGTAATGGGAATGCATTCATGGCTCCAAGCCTGGTCAGGCTGCACATTTTTCTCATCCTATGATTGAAATTTGATAATTGCAGATCTTTCTTGTAAGTATAAATATCAGAGACATAAAAAATTACAGATTTGTGATTTTTATAATCATTGTTCACCTTTGAATAATTAGATACATGAATTGAACACCATTCCAGCCGCCTCCATCAGGTGTTACCTTACATCCATAAAAAGGTCAAGGACACTTGTGACGAGATGGACACGACATATTTATTTAACGATCTTCTGTCGTGTAACTAAAGGCTAAAATCACAAACTTTTCATACCCCTGCCATTTACACGTAAAACAAAATTCTGATAATTCTCAAATTTCAAAAAGAAGCCTTTGTGCCTTTAACGCACTTTTAATTTTTGTAATAACCAAATATGGCAATAGGTTTCCTTTAGGAGTGTACAAATGGAACCATGTACATACTTTCTTTTGCAACTCAATACCCATACTAAAGACATTACAACACTTTGTAAAATCAAACATTGACATTGAGCTTCATTTGATCTTTGCCTTTATGTAAGGATTACTGATTTTGTGATTTTTGTTTTTATTTTCCAGTTCGTATATATCTCAGATCTGTTTTCGTGTCGGAATAAACAATGGTTTCAACAGAAATTAATTGGATTATTTTGAAACTGCACTATGCATGATTTCCATGTGGAAATCAGAAAAGAATACTAGCCGTTTTTCATTGAAATTACAAATATTGTCAATAGTCTTGTAAAAGTTTGAATATTTTCCCTTAAATAATACCTTAAATGATACATATTTGCTCTGAACTAATAATGGTTGGAAGTTTGTTTTTTTATTTGTAATGGCCTTTGATGTAGTTTTGTAGTCTACATAATTAAGCAAAGAGATCGGACTTGTTTTCCGTAGACGATACAGCTTTACTTTATTGTAAAATACCTCTTATTCTTTTGTCAACAAAACCAATAAGCTTTTCGTTTTACAATTTAAGATTTTTAATTAAAATGTTGTAATTTTGCATTTAATACATTTTTTTTCCAAATCCCTAATTTTAGAGCTAATTTCACGTTCATTTTGAAGATCAATTTTCCTTTTTGAGCTAGTGCGTCAGGTAGTTACATGCCTAATTCTACCCTTCATTTTTTCCCATCAGACATTTGAATTAGTTTGGTTATTAAATAAGATTGACTCTTGTGTTTATTGTGATATTCAGTATCTAAAATCAATGACTTGTTAACTTTAAAGTATAATCATAGACCCTTGTGATAAAGAATAAAGTTGAGATGCATAATTACAAATGATATATGTCTATAAAACATCTCAAAGATTGTCCACTTACCTTTCCAGAAACAAATAGATTTATATTTAATTTATTAGTGTCATTTAGAGTGAAATAAAGTTTGCTTCCCAAAATTCTACTAAGAAACTAAGATAATTGTACCTGAGCATGATCGTGTGACAATCAGAATGTAGATAAAAACGGTTTTCAGTTAAAGCTAAAACTATTGTCTGCATTAAATGCAAGTAGCGTTTCGAATTTCTTAATTTGAGCAAAAATGCATGGAGAGTTATTAGTTCTTGTTAGTTGTACAGAGATATTTTGTTGTGTTTTCTAGAGGTACACACAATCGATATTTTATAGTGCAGATAAAAATAAACACTAATGATAGAAATAGCTTATAATAGACATGGGTTTTTTGAAAACCTATGTGGCATTTTTTCTTATTAAAATGTAAGTTAAAAATTGTATAAACTGATTTTTCCCAATCAAATGAAATATATTTATTTCAGGGTGAACTGTCCAGTAACTGCAGTGTCGATGAATCCTGTCCACCAGATAAACCTTTTTGTAGTGAAGTTGGCTGTGTTTACGAATGTCCAGAACCTTTATATATCAATGGAACCAAATGTGTCTACGACTGCGGCGAAATGTTTGTTGATGATAATCGAAACTGCATCTCGGCATGTCCAGAACAAACATTTTATAAAGAGACACTTAAACAAACTATATCAAAGTCGTATTTAGAAAGGAAATGTGTCAAATGCGACATGCATGGTATGTTTATTTCAAATGCATCATGTGTGAATACATGCCCTTCAAAATCCAGATATATAGATGAAAATACTTGCATTTCACAATGTCCAGAGGCGCGATCTCTTAAGATAAATAAAACTATACATAACTTACTTCATTACCAATGCATAATTAAATGCCCAGCAATGGAAGAGGATGGTTTCTGTACAAGTGTCTGTTCCAAAAACAAAGTAGTGTCAGGTTCTTCGTGTCGTGAGCAATGTCCATTACAAATGCCTTATTTGCTTAACAACTCGTGCCACGCGCAGTGTCCAAATTATGCCCCTGCTGACGGAGTTCAAAATAAATGTGTGCAATCAAAGTGTCCAGATGAAAGACCGTTTGTTGTAAATAATACGTGTGTCGATAGTTGTCCAAATGAGTTTACCTTAATTAATTCTACATTAAAAGATAACATAGGATTTAAATACTGCTTAAAAGACTGTGAAGATAAATACAAATACAACAATAATTGTGTATCAGCTTGTCCATCTGAAACTGTGGCCGTAGAAAACACTTGTGTTGACAGTTGTCCTATGTATACGTCTTACAAATGCATAGCAGCGGTGGGGTATAAATGTGGAGAAAATATTGCGAGAAGATTGACCCATGCGATATGTGTATATGAATGTCCTCAATATATGTTCATTTGGAATAACATGTGTGTGTTTTCGTGTAACAGTGGACTCTCAATATTTGGCAAAGAATGTACTGAAACATGTCCGGTCGATAAACCATATAAACAAAATATAACGCATACTGTTAACTGCTATCGTGGTCGCTGTGAAAGCATTAAAACAGATTTGAACTGTGTGCAGAAATGTTCATCTGAGAGTTATATATCTAACTACTCATGTTTCCAATATTGTCCTTCGAATTTTCTGTATGTCGGAAATAATTGTGTGTCACAATGTCCAAAGACAGAGCCACTAATAGAAAATTCTACAATTACAGTAAAAACATGGTCTTATCAATCTACTGATTATTACTATGATCATCGTCACTATACACAAAGTTCGGAAGAAAAACATATTCAGAAATGCGTTGCTGTTTGCAGCACCGGTATGATTCTTTTAAACTCTACTTGTGTAAAAACTTGCCCAATAGGATATACAATAACTGCAAATAGAACATGCTCACAGTCAGAATGTATCACGAAATACAAGGAAGTAACTAAAGCAGGCACAATATGTCTCGATCAGTGTAGATCAAACACATTTCGTTTCAACAATACATGCGTGGAAACATGTTCAGGTACATATATGAAATATCACTTCAATGGTACCTGCACTGAAAGATGCCCAGATGGCTATAATAATATTGCTGTTTCAGTTACTAATGAGGTTCATAATGAGAGGTATTGGGATGATTATTGGGAAGGCGACATTATATTAAATCGCTGCACGAAAGATTGCGGTGATGAATATTTCCAGTACAATGGAAGTTGTGTCAATTTTTGTCAACCACCACTTTTAACGTTTAACCGTACGTGTGTGACAGTTTGCCCATTAAATTCACACTTTTATTCAACAACATCATTGTCATTTAACAGAATATCTTTAGAAAATAGTGGGAAAAGATTTCAAAAAGAAAATATCACTGAAACTATTCTAAATTGTGAGATTAATTGCCCCAATAATACAGTGTTACTAGATTCAAAATGTGTAAACATGTGTCCCTTAAATAGACGATATATAATCAATGGATCGTGTCAAAGTGCTGAATGCAAAACAAAATATCGATATTATCATTCTTCTGGAGTAAAATGTTTTGACAAGTGTCCAACAGGTTTATTCGTTTCAAACACCACGTGTGTTTTACAGTGTTTGGACAATCAATACCAATTTAATCAAACATGTGTACACTCCTGCCCTTCTACACATCTCATCAATGAGAGATATATAACCAGTGATTTGTTTAGTTGTTGGTACTCATATAGTAAATGCACCAAACGTGTTGTTAAGGTGAAGGAGTGTCGTGAAAATTGTCCCCCAGAAAAATTTCTTTATAATGGTGTGTGCTTGAACATTTGTCCAAAGCATACATTGACGCTTGCGAATAGATGTGTAAATAATTGTTCAATTACTCACCAGAAGATCGAAGAGAAAATAATTTCAATATATAAATGGGTACTTTACTCAAATGATAATGCATGGGAGCAGAAAGTTGAAAACCATGAGACTCGTGAATGTGTTTCACATTGTTCAGAGAGACACCATTTACAATACCGCAACTCTTGCTTAACCTCTTGCCCAGACGACTTGCCTTTCCAAGTGAACAACGTTTGTGTAGAAAAGTGTCCTGAAAATAAACTTACTACTTTAACAACAAAAGTGTGTGTTGATAAATGTGCGTCAGACTATGGAGAGTTTAATAGGTCTTGTCATAGCAACTGTCCACAACACATCAAATACATTTTTAATGCAAGATGTGTGTCCGAGTGCCCATCATCACATCCAGTAGCATTGGAAAATGACAGATTTGTGTGTAGAAAATCTTGTGGAGGTTCGAAATTATTTAGAGATGGAGAATGTATTGAAAGTTATTCATGTGATGACCCAATGTTTGAATACGATGGGTGGTGCCTTCGCAAATGTCCCGATGGTTTTGTATGGTTTATTTCGTGTCAGAATACATTGGTTGCAAAAATAGCCATTGGTATACTCACCATGCTGCTAGTAGTTTTGTTCCATTTAAGTCGGCACTTTCTTCTGGACTTCATTACGGCTGCAAGATTAATTTTCAAATCAAAAGTAAGTAGTTTGTGTGCGTGATAAGGGGAAGTTTGCTTTGTTCTACATTCAAGATTTTATGTTAAGGTTGAACATAACGCCAGTAGACTCAAACTGTCCTTATTTATTTGAGGCCAGTAGGTGAAAATGTCAAGTCACCATTTAAAACTTATCTGACCAATAACTTTAGAATAATTTTGATAACAGTCTTAAAATTTAGTATGAAGGTTAGTCGCTTATAGATGACTACTGCTGTGTTGATTATAGGTCATTAAGTCAGGGACGATGTTATAATTTCACAATTTTCTAAAATCCTTGTATATCAGTCATTTAAAAATGAATAAAGCTAAGATTTTTTTAAGTTAGTAGGGACATTACCCTTAGCCTGTAGTTGCTATCTAAAATAGTCAAACTCAACTGGTCAATGGTCAATGCCACATTAACACTATGTACTTGTTTGTCTTATCAATAACTTGAGAAGAAATAAGTTGTTAGTTTATAACATTTTGAGATCCGATGTCTTATGGACACATTTCTAGATTTAACAGTGTTTTCCTTCTTTTTTTCAGGAAATGATCGTGAAAATGGAAAAACAACTGATACCATCGGGTTCCAATTTCAAATTGAATGATATAAAAAAAGCAACAGACGATGAAATATCTTTACTTTTACCTCACATGGAAGATGAACATTATTTATGAGCTTGGTTTTGAAAGATAGCAAACTATTTTAATTTTGTAAAAGTTTGATTCAAACAATGATTATGACATTAATATAAATATCGTTTATTGCATAATTGTGATTAAATAGTTTTGCTTGATGCCAGAAGGTGTAGAATACATATCTGTATATGGATGGTACGTTGCAGAGCCTTTTGAACAGCATATAAGCAACGGGAGAGAGGAGTTAGTTCAAATGGACTACGGCTGATTTGAAGCCGTCTATTGTCTTAGCTTGCGCAACAATATCACTCAATTTATTCCAATCGATTATAACATAAAGTTTTACACTGCACAATTTTAAAGCATTTAGAATGATTTATTATCTGGTTTTCAATAATGTTTTCTGTGGCAGAATTCTCAAAAGTCATAGTTTTCACTCTGCGTTTATGTACGCGTACAGGCGTCAAGTAGTCTTGGCAATGCAGGGCTGGCACCAGCCCCCAACCATCTTATAAATTATCGTAAGTTTGTTTGCTGAATCATCTGAATCATCAAGAGGTGACAGCACTTATTGCTATCGACCTTAGTACAGCCTGTGACACTGTTGATTATGAAATACTACTGGATGTCGTCAAGCAGCAATATGGTGTTTAGTGACAAGGCGCTGTGTTGGATTGATTCTTACCTAAGTTAACGCACTTGTGTAGTTAATTCACCTTTATCAAATCCTCGACCGTTGGAGTGCAGTGTGCCACAGGGAAGTCTAGGACAATGGCTATATCTTGCATATGCAGGGACTTCATACCGCCCTCAATTTCGGTCTATGGGTTCGCAGATGACCACATTGCTCACAAAACGTTCAGGCCAACAACTCAAAAAAGTGAAACTAAGGCAATCAAAGACATCGAGAATTGTGCAATCACCATAAACGACTGGATGAACCAGAATAAGCTAAAAATGAACTCTTCGAAAACCGACTTTATAATGTTCACAAATGCCATGCAACTGAAATTGACATCGCGTATAATGTATTCTTTACCTAGGAGCCTATCTCGATGAAACATTAAACCTTAAAGAACATGTAAAAAAACTGTAGAACAGCCATTCTCAACTTTTTTAGAATTAAGAATATACCAACTACCTTAACAAAAGAAGCAACAGAAACTCTTGTCTTAAGTCTAGTGATTTCACATCTTGATTTCTGCAATGTGATTTTGTATGGTATTCCCGATAAAGACAATTACAAACTCCAAAGGATTCAAAACATGTGTTTTAAAACGTCGGAAATTTGATAATTCTAAACAGGCATTGTACGATTTGCATTGGTTACCTATTAAAGCAAGAATAAATCAGAAAAAGTCTAACATTCATGTACCAATGTTCTGTAGGCAGCGCACCAGGCTGAACTTTTAAGCCGGCAGGTTCCAAAGCGACAAGGGCTCAGATCAGCTGATTTAGTAGACAGTGTTTACGAAGTGTCTTTCAATAAAAGAAAAACATTCAGTGACAGAAGTTTTTGTACGGTCGGCCGGAAATTATAGAACCAACTATACCAATATATATTAGACAGGCTCAGAGATGTGTTTAAACATAAACTAAAAACCCACTTTTTCAATAACTTCTACTCGTTGTAACAACTACGGTGATTCAGTACAATTTGCTAAGCAATAATCTAGCACAATTACTATTGTAAAATTAAGTAACTTCTGCGTTTTAGTCTGATATTTTTACATAACTTATGTGTTTTATCAGAAATACATGTATTGAATTTTAAATGACTGTGTAAGAACTAACTATATTTTTTCATGTTATAGTTATTTTATTCTTCTTTATTCTCTGTGTATTATGTGCTAGGTCTCTGATATTCTACGGTATATTTTAAGCAGTAATTGTTTAAATTGTCTGTATCACTTTTATTATCTGTATTTTAGCAATTTGTTTAACACTGCATTCATGTTAAAACAGTACCATTATGGGATTTTAGTTTAAATTGTATTTTATAGTTTTTGTAAAACGCCATTGAATGCATGTTTAATTGTAAATAATAGGCGTTTAACCAAATAAACCAGTTTTAGTTTTAGTTGCTTTCATTCGGTCCTGGAGGATGTAAATAGAAAAATAACCAATTAAAACTTTGAATTCGGTCTGATAACATAATTGTTATTAAGATTTCGCTGGTATACAAATCTGTGGACTTTGCTTACATGATATGTACCCCGGCATTCGACCTTTGCGTTTTTCTGTAGACTTGGATACTCACCTTATCATTATACAATAATTGTCGCTTATGTGTTCAGTGACTCTATAATATGTTAATTAAAAATGACACGAGGCGGTCAATGGCTACGCTAACGCTGCGCAATAGAAAGTAATTCATATATGAAGTCATAACAGCGCTGTTATTTTTATGCCACCGCAGCATCTGCGATGCGGTGGCATATAGCGATTCACCTGTGTGTGCGTGTGTGCGTGCGTGCGTGCGTGCGTGTGTGTGTGTGTGTTATATAGATTATATAGTGAACATAAAAAATCTTCTTGTGAAAAACCACTAGTCCAATTTCAACCAAACTTTGGCAGGATTGATCCTTGGGTGAAGGGCTTCCAAAGTTGTTCAAAGAATTTCATTCCATGCAGAAATCTGGTTGCCATGGCAACCAAAAGGAATTATAAGAATAAATTTAAAATATCTTCTTGTAAAGACTCAAAAGGCCTAGAGCTTAGATATTTTGCATAAGGCATTGTCTGGTAGACCTCTAACAAGATTGTTCAAATTATAACCCTGGGGTCAAAATTGGCCCCGTCCCGGGGGTCATTGATTTTCACTATATATACATATTGTAAAAACTTAAAATACCTTCTTGTAAAGACCCTAAAGGCCTAGAGCTTAGATATTTTGCATAAGGCATTGTCTGGTAGACTCTTTTCAAGATTGTTCAAATTATAGCCCTGGTGTCAAAATCGGCTCCGCCCCCGGGACCATTGATTTTCACAATATGTACATATAGTAAAAACTTAAAATACCTTCTTGTAAAGACCCAAAAGGCCTAGAGCTTAGATATTTTGCATAAGGCATTGTCTGGTAGACCTCTACCCAGATTGTTCAAATTATAGCCCTGGGGTCAAAGTCGGCCCCGCCCCAAGGGTCATTGGTTTACCTTAAATGTATATAGTAAAAACTTATAGTAAAAACTTTAAAAAAAATTCTTCTAGCAATTGACAAATGCTAGAGGTTAGATATTTTGCATGAAACATTGTGTAGTAAACCTCTAGCAAGATTGTTCAAATTATAGCCCTGGGGTCAAAATTGCCCCCGCCCTTGGGGTGATTGATTTCAATATATACATATAGTAAAAAATCAAAAAATCTCATTGTCTGAAAGTACAAGGCTTATGCAAATAGTAAAAACTTTAAAAAAATCATCTTCTCTAAATTTACAAAGGCTAGAGTTAAGATATTTTGCATAAAATATTGTGTAGTGAACCTCTAGCAAGATTGTACAAATTATAGCCCTGGGGTTAAAATTGGCCCCATCCCCAGGGGTCATTGATTTTCACTATGTACATATAGTAAAAAATTAAAAAAATTCTCTTGTCTGAAGGTACAAGGCTTAGAGCTTTGATATTTGGTATATAATATCATATATAGGTCCTCTACTAAAGTTGTTTTAATTATGCCCCTAGTGTAAAAATTGCCCTGCCCCAGAGGCAATAGTTTTCCTTATATATATATAAAGAAAAAACTTGAAAAATCATCTTCTCTGAGTTGACAAAGGCTAGAGGTTAAATATATGGCATGAGTTTTTGCCATGTACAGAAATATATATAGGCAGTGGATCCGCCGCATCAACAACGTGACTGTACCACGTATTGACATACTCCGTGAATGGTAAAAAAACTGCATCGTTAAGGAAAATAAACTTGTGACGTCGTTAACGTCAATTTCAAAGTTATACCGTGCGCCGCATTGCTTTACATGTACATGCCAATAGCAGCATAACTTTTTTATTTGTTTATATTTCTTGTTGGTATTTTTTGTATCATTTAGGGGATAGATTCCGATTTATGTTCCGTGTATTTTTATGTAAATTCATTTAACAGATAAAGAATCATTTACAAAGTCCGGTTAATTTTTGATCATCCCTCGTATGATAGAAATGCATTGTTATTTTTGCGTGCTTCGATTCTTCGTGGTATATACGGTATAATGTGTAAGTGTTATGATAGTTGTTGATACAGTGCAGAAATAAATTTATTATAACCCTACAAACGAAGTTTGGAGGGGATATATAGGAGTCAGCTTGTCGGTCGGTCGGTCGGTCGGTCCACATCAGGGTTTCCGGACCATAACTAGAGTATGGAATGAGGTATTGTAATCAAACTTAGTATATAGCAACCTTATGTGGAGACCCCGGTTGGTATTGCATTTGGACCCCCTGGGGTCAAGGTCAAGGTCACCGTTACTAAAAATAGAAAAATGGTTTCCGGACAATAACTAGAGCTAGGAATGAGATATTGTTATCAAACTTGGCGTATAGCAAGCTTACATAAGGACCTGGGTTGGTATTGCATTTTGGCCGCCTGACGTCAAGGTCAAGGTCACCGTTACTAAAAATAGATAAAAGGTTTCCGGACAATAACTAGAGTTTGGAATGAGATATTGTTATTAAATTTGGTGTATAGCAAGCTTATATGAAGACCTGGCTTGGTATTGCATTTGGACCCCCCTGGGGTCAAGGTCAATGTCACTGTTACTAAAAATAGAAAAATGGTTTCCGGACAATAACTAGAGTTAGGAATTAGATATTGTAATCAAACTTGGTGTATAGGAAGCTTATATGAAGACCTGGGTTGGTATTGCATTTGGATCCCCTGGGGTCAAGGTCACCATTACAGTGTTACTAAATATAGAAAAATGGTTTCCGGACAATAACTAGAGTAAGGAATTAGATATTGTAATCAAACTTGGTGCATAGTAAGCTTACATGAAGACCCCGGCTGGTATTGCATTTTGGACCCCCTGGGGTCAAGATCAAGGTCGCCGTTATTAAAAAAAGTAAAATGGTTTCTGGACAATAACTAGAGTTAGGAACGAGATATTGTAATGTAATCAAACTCTGTGTATAGCAAGCTCATTT